CCCTCTTCCCTATCTGAAAATTGTACCAACTCAGGTTCCTCCCTGAGACCTGTTATCACTGTTCCCATCTTCACCTTCTCTCCTCGCCGGACAAGGCTGCTGTCCTGCACGAGGCTAACCCCCAGCTGTGGTCGTTTATTGCGTGACAGCCCCTGGGCCGTGTGCTGCGCATCTCAGTCCTCCAGCAGCCATTGAGGGGAATGCACGTGACGTCCACTTCTCACAGTTCAGGAGATAAACTGAGCGGGTGTTACTTGCGGAAGTTCGCATACTAGAATGTGGTGGATGCTCGATTCAAACTAGCCCGAGTCTTAGCCGTGACTGCACTGATTATTCATCCGTCGATCATTCCTTTCTCTCCTCTAGATTCTGCCCCTCGCCTCTACGGGTTCTTCCTCCTCATCCTGTAAACATGCCAGTGTCTTTCCCATCCTAAAAAAAGAGCCCTCGGCCCTTCCCTCACCCTTTGTTGTCTCCTGCTAAAGTCACCACTGACCTTGTAACTGCCCAATACAGCAAATGCTTTTTAGTCCTTATTTAGTCTGTTATCTTTGACATTATTTCCTTCTTGAAGTACTTGATTCCCATTGTTTCTGTAACAAGTGTCTTGCACACTTCCTCTCTGTTCCTTCTCCTCCTCTGCTTTGCTGTATCCTCATCTTCTTCTCGAATGTGGATCACGCCCAGGCCTCCATCCTGGCCCCTTCTCACGCTCTCTCTCGCAGTGATCTCAGCAGTGCTAGTAGCAGCACACGTGTGTCTCTACATTTATATATCCAGCTATGTCACTAGACACATGCCCTGAAGGTACTTCCAACTCACCATGTCAAAATCTGAACTGCTTCCCCCCAAATGCTCTTCTTCCAGTAGCAGCACACGTGTGTCTCTACATTTATATATCCAGCTATGTCACTAGACACATGCCCCGAAGGTACTTCCAACTCACCATGTCAAAATCTGAACTGCTTCCCCCCAAATGCTCTTCTTCCTTCTGTATTTCCCATCTCGGGGGCACTCTTATCTGCCCAGCTAGAAACAGAGGCATCATTCTAGACTTTTCTCAATACCTGTTACAGCTGCCTTATGTACAGCTGCCTTATGTATCTCTTTTTTCCTTTTTTAATTGTGGAAAATATACAAAACAAAATTTGCTATTTAAACCTTTTTTAAGTGTTCAGTGACATTAAGTACATTCATATTTTTGTGCAGCCACCACCACCATTCATCCCAGAACTCTTTTCATCTCTCAGAACTGAATCTCTGTACCAGTTAAACAATAGCTCCCTGCTCCCCCTTCCACCAGCCCCTGGCAACCACCATTCTGCTTTCTGTCTCTAGGAATTTGACTATTCCAGGTACCTCATATAAATGGAATCATACAGTCTTTGTTGTTTTGTGTCTGGCTTATGTCTCTCAGCATAATGTCCTCAAGGTTCATCCATGTTGTAGCATGTGTCAGAATTTCCTTCCTTTTTAAAGCTGAATAATATTCCATTGTATGGATACACCCACATCTTGCTTATCCATTCAATCACTGATGGACACTTGGGTTGCTTTCAGCTTTTGGCTATTGTGAATCATGCTGCTGTGAACATGGGTGTGCAAATATCTCTTCAAGATCCCACTTTGCATTCTTTTGGTTTTATACCCAGACGTGGAATTGCTGGATCTTTATCTAAATAAGTTCTTTAATTTTTTGAGGAACTGCTAAACTGTTTTCCACAGTGGCTGCACCATTTCCCCTTCCTACCAACGGTGCATCAGCCTTTCACTTTCCCCACATCCTCACCAACATTTGCTATTTTCTGGTTTGTTTTTTTTTTTTCATAGTAGCCATTCTCATGGGTGTGAGGTGGTTTCTCATTTTGTTTTTAATTTGCATTCCCCTAATGATTAGTGATGTTGAACATCTTTTTATGTGCTTATTGGCCGTTTGTATTCTTCTTCAGAGATACATCTATTCAAGTCCCTTTGGCCAAAGATTTTTGAAATTGGATTGTTTGTTTTTTTGTTATTGAGTTTTAGGAGTTTTCTGTATATTCTGGATATGAATCCCTGATCAGATATGATTTGCAAATAATTTTCTCCTATTTTGTGGATTACCTTCTTACTCTGTTGATAATGCAGGCCCTTATCTCTTGACTGAACTTTTCATAGCCTTCCTGTGGTTTCTTTCTAATCCATCTTCCCACTGCAGTTCAAGAGATCTTTCTGAGACAGAAAACCTGCCTGTCATTGCCTTTTTTAAAATGCTTCCCTGGGCCGGCCCGGTCGCGCACTGCTACAGTGCGCCACTTGAGAGCGCGGCGGCGCTCCCGCCGAGGGTTCGGATCCCACATACAGACCCGTTCCCGCTCACTGGCTGAGTGAGGGGCGGGAGCAACACCGAGGGTTGCGATCCCGTTGCCGGTCCAGTCCGGTACAGGCGCGACACTGAGGGTTGCGATCCGTTGCCGGTCACGAAAAAAGACAAAAAAGGAAAAAAAAAAAAAAGAAAAATGCTTCCCTGACTCCCCACTTTGGCAGTGATTCCTAACTGGGATTTCATATATCAGAATCACCTAGGGAGCTTTTTGCAAATATGCCCTGCTTCTGGGGATTCAGATTCAGTAGATCTGGAGTATTGGGGTTTTAAAAATCTCCCCAGTGATGCTAATGCACAGCAGGGTGGAGAGTCACTGCTGTGGAGGTAGGAAGGTTCCAGGTCAGGTTTGGGTGGTTTTGGTGAACACGCCTAGAGCCTGACTGGCTGGAAGTTCATCTCCAAAGGGATGGGACCATCCTAGGCCCTTCATGATCGAGTCCTGGATGGCAGATAGGTTTCATTTTTCATCCAACTCTGGCTAATTAGTAGTAGCAGCTCAGAGACTATGTTGAATATCATTCTGAAGCTGAATGTGTGCCCAGCCTGAGATAGGGTTATGATCAGTTAGCACACGTGCCACAGCAGGGGAGGGGACAAGTGTGGCATGTGTGTCTGAGCTTGTCTGCACCTCTTGAATTGTATGTTCTAGGTGTACCACACTACTGCCTCCCTCTGGCCTTTAAACACTGGTTTCTCCTTTCTGGAATTCACCCTACTTTTCTGTGTAATAAGCTATGAAAATATGTGTATATGTGTGTGTATACATTTCAAAACCCTGCCCTCTGCCCCAGCAGATTTAATAATAACCTCCTCTGAGCTGTTTCTGCACCATTTAGTTCAGGTCTCATATGTTATTTAATCTATTTAAATCTCTCCCCCCCACTAAATTTTAAGCTCCAGGAAAGGCAGAGACTGTGTTTTATTTATTTATGTCTCAGGGCCTCATGTGGAATCTGACCCTTAGTTGGTACTTAATGAAATTTGGTGATCATGTCTGAATTCTTTGTTACCTTATTCCTGAATTTAGTGATTGAGAAAGGTGCCAGGATAAATTCTCTAGAATTTAATTTCTTGAATTGAATGTTTATATCTCTAAGTGGGGCAATTATATAAATGTGTCCCAGGCCCATATTTCCATTACTTTCTGGCTAATTTTTGTCTTGTTACTTCAAACAGATATCTAAAACCAGATTTCCATATCTGCCCCCCATAAAAGCTACCTCCAGCTTTTTCTCTTAAACTGCCTGTGTGAATGGTGCTGCCCTTCTTTAAGCCACAACCTAAGAATCTCTTTATCTCATCCCTATTCCTCACCACCTGCCCCGCTGCCCCCTACTACACCAGTCATTAGAACTCACAGCTTCGAAGAATTAGTGTTTGCTCTGTGCTTTAAAGGATGATAAGGTACTCTGGCAGATAGAGTGTGATGTTCTTATCTACTGAAAATGTCTCATGTGAAGTAAATAGTGGGCTTTATTGTGTTCCAGGAGGAAATGACATAGTTATTAAATTAAATTTTCTTTGCTTTCTCTTCCACAGATTGATGCCTCATCATTTACATTGACATTCTTTGGTCAAGGATACAGCAAATGCCTCGGTACCGATCAGAAGAAACCAAATATGAAAATTTGTACTCAGGTGAAAGGACCAGGTATTTTGCATATGACTTAAGACTGCTTAGGAGTTTTACATTGTCTTAAGCTATGAAGTGGAATGCTATTACAATATATTCTTTTAAAGTGTAATTGTTGGGGCCAGCCCATGGCTCACTCAGGAGAGTGTGGTGCTGATAACACCAAGGCCACAGGTTCAGATCCCTATGTAGGGATTGGGCCAGTTAGCTCACTTGGGAGAGCGACAACACCAAGCCAACGGTTAAGGTCCCCTTACTGGTCATCTTTTAAAAAAAACCTTAATTGGGCCGGCCCGTGGCTCACTCAGGAGAGTGTGGTGCTGATAACACCAAGGCCATGGGTTCAGATCCCTATGTAGGGATTGGGCCAGTTAGCTCACTTGGGAGAGCGACAACACCAAGCCAACGGTTAAGGTCCCCTTACTGGTATAATTGTTTTAGAAATACATTTGCACCAATTATTATTTAAGTAATTTAAAATTTTTCTGTTAAAGAAAGATTGAAATTATTGGTTCAGTCCAACTTTATTAGTGCATCCTTCCTATGGTTTTCTTTTTCAGTATGACTCAGTAATTCAGAATGGCAAATTTGAATTAGTATTAATAGGACAAGGGGCTAACTGACGTTTACCTGTTTTAGTCTCAGATTCAAGCAGTATAATTACATCATAATAGAGCTTAAGTCTGCAGTCCAAGGTTTCTTTGGAGTCTCTGAACACCCCGATGTTGTTCGTAAAACCTGTGTGCACACATGCATTTCTCAAGGGAGGGTGATGCCTTTTAATAAGTTGTTAAAAGGATGTGTTGCCCCCAAAAAGTTCAAGAGCTTTTGCTATAAATTTGAGAGAAATATGCAGAGACAGCCCACTTGTGAATTATAGTGTAAGTTTCATTACTGTTGTCCCTGATAGGTCGGGGGTGTGTGTGTGTGTGTGTGTGTGTGTGTGTGTGTGTGTGTGTGTGTGTGTGTATCAAGCAGATGGCAATATGTTTGCATGTCGTGTCTTCAAATTCCCACCTGGCTTTTTAAGATAAGTTGACTGTGTTTTTATTATGCTAATAAATGTAAATGCTAGTGCACCACTTGCTTATAGACTTCTTTTTGAGTTACTCAGGTTTAGTCAGTTGTTTTTCTTTAAGAAATTTGAGTTTTTTTTTTTAAGGATGTGAATGCAGAGAGGGGTCATTTTAGCGTATTAATAGAGAAACAGAAGCCCTCGGATCATTGGCTTCAGTTATTGCCAAGAAGCAGGGCAGTGTAAGTGGGTCAGAGCATGGACTCTGGAGGCAGCTGCCTGCAAGTGATTTTGGCCGAGCCACTGCCTGGTTTTGTGAGTTTGGACAAGTCACTTAACTTATCTGTGCCTTAGTTTCTTCATCTGTAAAAGGTACAAAAAAATACTAACCTCATATAATTGTTATGAAAATTAAGTTAGTTTAATAGATTTAAAGCTGTAGTTCATAACAATACTTGTAAATACTTGTATAAATGTTAATTGTTATTTTTGTTGAGTGACCAGGGTATCTATTGAAAAAACTGTGTGTACCTAGAGTTAGATATAAAATCTACCATTTGATTTTTGGGTGGTGTTTAGTGCACACTTCATGAATACTTTTCTTTTTGCAGAGGCTGGCTACGTGGCTACCTCTATAGCTATGGTTCAGGCAGCCATGACCCTTCTAAATGATGTCTCTGATCTTCCTAAGGCGTAAGTTTGGTTCTCTTCTAATTAGAAGATATCTCTTCCATCTATATTCTATTTTAGCTTATTTTGATTTGATTTCCAGGCTTTGGGTTGCACATAGATAGCATTTATAGTTCCTTTGACCCAAAGATATAGGTAAATTAAAACTGTGAGAAAGAAAGTTCCTTACCAGCATCTGGAAACAACCGTGGAGGTGAATGAGAAGAGACAGAAAAGTTTGAGAGCCATGTAAGTTGGCTTTAGTTCCTTGAAAGAATAGCTCAAGTCCAGAGTCAGCTACTCAAAAAGGTCCCCATTGTTAAATAATATTAACAGGAGCCTCTAATCAGTGCTGAATGATACCTGGCTGGCAGTGGGAGCCCTGGCTGACACTAAGCGTGAACTGAATCACGGGATCCTGGCTAGATGATTATTATCGATGTACTGTCTTACTAGCATTTATTTGTTACCCTAAAACTAGGCCTCCTATACAGCTGAGCATAGGCCTGCAGCTAAGTAAATCAGTCATGTCCTAAAATACTACTAAGTAATAAAAATAGAATTTGTATATAGTAAAACCTAATTTAAAAAATTTTAAGTACTTCTTTACTCTTTGAAAATATTTAGCATTTTACAAATGTTAGCTTTTATATCTTTTAAAAAACTTCTGGGCTTGCTGGTTAGCTCAGCTGGTTAGAGTGCAGTGTTGCAACACCAAGGTCAAGGATTTGGATCCTGTTACCAGCCAGCTGCCAAAAACAAACTTCTTTTTCATCAGTTTAAGTCCTGCTTATTCTTTAATAATAATTACCTAAATTTATCCCACTCAGGTCTTTAATCTCCTGAGTCAGGACTGTCTTTATAAACAACAGCGGTTACTCAGGTTGATGACGCTCAGTGTGCCCCTTGAACACACCAGTTGCACATGGAAACAATCTCACCAGGAACTGAACCAACCTAGATGGGATTGGCTGTGCCTCTAGTTTCTCCTGTATAATAGCTGCTTGCTCATCTGCTTGATTTTAGGAATGGAACCAAAAGTAGCCAGGATAGAATGAGACTAGGGTTTTCATGAGTTCTGCAGTGATTTGATAGCTCATCCTGCAGCGGAGAGGTCAGCGGAGAGGTCTGGAGAGGAGCCGTGTGCACTGTTTTCTCTTGTTACTGTTTTACAGGGGAGGATAGAATGAGACTAGGGTTTTCATGAGTTCTGCAGTGATTTGATAGCTCGTCCTGCAGCGGAGAGGTCTGGAGAGGAGCCGTGTGCACTGTTTTCTCTTGTTACTGTTTTACAGGGGCGGGGTCTTCACACCTGGAGCAGCTTTCTCCAGAACAAAGTTGATTGACAGACTCAACCAACGTGGCATTGAATTTAGTGTCATTAGCAGCTCGGAAGTCTGAACATTTGAAGAATTAACTGAAGTCTTAAAGTGTATGAATTAACAGCTTGTGTATTTGATATCTGAAATTCTTCTATCAGCCTGACTATATGTGGAAAAGTTTGTCAAATTTAAAATTTCTACATGTTAAAAGCAAGATATTGTACTAGCTTACCCTCTACTTAACATCTCAGCTGATTTTGTGATTTTATCCCTTGTGGCAGAGAACTAACATTTGACTGACTTTTCCATTGAAGTGTTCTAGAAATGTTTATGAATGAGCTGGCAGGTCAGATGGTGGGGGAGGCGTCCCTGTCTGTCCTGCCCCCAGCAGCCTCAGCGAGGGCGCCAGGCCAGTGCTCACTGCGGGCAGCACCTTTCCTTGCTGCTTTCCTTGCCATGGCATTGAACAGAATCTCGCCTTCCAGTGAGTTTCTGTACATATCGTGTGAGCCTGTGCTAAACGAAGCTGCACTTTTGCTATTTTAGCCTAGTTTTTCGCCCATCTACACTGACCGACTTTGGACTGTTACCTCAGTTGATTAATAAAGGGTTGTCAGTTGAAAGTGGTTTTGTGTTTGGACCTGCTGTGTATTTGTATAGTGGCAGGAATGCTGCTTAACTGGTCTGACCTACTCACTGCAGGCAATTGGGCCTGTCATTCTTTCTTTCCCTGCTTCTGTATCTGTGATGAGTTTTAAGGATACAACTTGTAAGTTTCTGTGCTTTTCATTGCCTGAGCAGGAGAATTTTTTTCTAATTTACCCTTTGTATTTTAACTAGGTTTTCCACTTAAGCTCTAAAATAAGACAAAGGACTTTCCCCTTTATAATAAGAATATAATGAAGACACATGTCGTGTTTGTGCTGTTCATTATGTAAAAAAGACAGCCACCCCTTTATGGAATTTCTGCTCTCAAGTGAGAGGCATAACTATACAGGAGTGTCATTGGTGTTGCCTGTGCAGAAGAACCAGGAGGGTACGGAGGCCGAAGACAGGGACTGTCGGTGCAGTGCTGCCCACCCAACTGCTTCCTTTACCCGGCCTGGTCGTCGTGAGACAGGGATTGTGGTCCCCACTGTGCCCTCACTTATGGGTCCTTAGGAAAGGGTTTATCAGAGAGACACGTAGCTTCTCTATTACATAGATGGGGGAAAATAGTCATTTTGGAATAGAGCAAAGAGAGAAACTTAAGAAAATTTCATGATAAGGTCATTTGTAAAACTTGAGGAAAGACTGCTTTGCAGCACAGCCGCGGCGGGTGGCATGTGCAGAGGGCTGGTGGTGCAGGCTGGAACCCTATCTGAATGCCCTGCTCTGCATCTTCCTTGAGCCACGACGCCAAGGCGCCGGACAACGTGAATCTAGAAATCGATCCTCTTGCCCAGCAGCTCCAAAGGGTCAATAACCACATCCTCACCACGTGCTCTAGAAACAGAAGAGGTGAACACTGATCTCAGGTTAAGCTGGGGCCGAGCAAGTGAGGACCGTGATGTCAAGGGAATTAAACAATCCTTGAGAGAGAGGTAATTTCACTGAAGGAAGGATAGTAATATCGCCAGGGTGGAATTCATTCATTCAAGAGACACTTAAGAAGAGCCCGCTCTACGTTGGCACTTCAGGGTAAGATGAGGACCTTCTCAAGGAGCTCACAGCCTGGAGGAGAAAGGAGTATAAAGAGCCTCGTACAATAAACGCACACACGTGTGGAAGCTAATGCGCACTGAACATTTAGGTAGGACCCCAGGGGGACAGGGGAAAGCCAGCTGGCTGCTCAGATGCAGCCTCCCACGTTGTCATTGTCCTTGGAGAATTCTTTAGAGTCCAGTGTCAAGCCCAGGCCTATAAGCTCAGAAACGGATTTGGACAGCTCTCCAAGAGGGCACCTCTCTCACATCAACCAAGCTCACAAAGCCTGAAACCTATTAGTTACAGTGCCACTTTACTGATATGCAATGGGTTAGCCTAGAAGCCCGAGGTAGCCAAATGACCGGGAAGTCGCTTGGTCTCTCAGTCACAGAACCTCAAGGTTCTCTTACTCCCTTTTTAAGCTGGTTTCTTCTTCACAAAGACAAAAGATTGCATTAGGTGCCTTTGAGGGCCTGGCCCCCAAACCAGGTCCCCCTGCCAGCCCCTGCTTAGGGTTGCTCAAAGACTAGCTTTTATAAAAACTGCCTGTGGCCTAAAGAGAAAAATAGATGAGACATGTTGAGAGGAGGGTAAAAGGTAATGTTGAACAGAGTTTAGGACAGAACTGAAGGCTTGAAGCCTGTGCCCACAGAAAGGTCAGGTGACAGCACAGAATGAGTCCAGACATCTCCACCCTACCTCAAGAAAAGGACAAAGAAATGGTCAGGACTATATCAAGGACAGAGAAGGGCTGAGCTGGAGAACTGGCTTTCTGCTCCTGGCTCTTGGGTGCCATCAGCTAGATGGGCCTTGGACATGGGGGAAGCATACAGACCTCAGGCACCAGGAGAGGGCTGGGCTGGGCTGGGCAGACCCTGCAGCACACTTGGCTTCTCTCCTCGGAGGGCCCATTGTTTGCAACCAACTCAGGTCTTCTGGTTCTTGTTCAAGACTCCTTCACTACCTGTTCTCTGCACGATGTGCTCATTCCCTTGGTCCCCCAGGGCAGTGCTGCGCTGTCGCCAATGCTGCTGGGGATTCCGGGCCAGCTGATTTGGCTGCCATACAAAAATCAGATCAGATGAGGCCAAATCAAGAATGAATCGATGTGCTCATTCCCTTGGTCCCCCAGGGCAGTGCTGCGCTGTCGCCAATGCTGCTGGGGATTCTGGGCCAGCTGATTTGGCTGCCATACAAAAATCAGATCAGATGAGGCCAAATCAAGAATGAATGAGCTCGGGGCCGGCCCGGTGGCGCACTGGATAAGTGCACCGCTTGGGAGGCGTGGCGGCACTCCCGCCCGAGGGTTCGGATTCCACATACAGACCGGTTCCCGCTCACTGGCTGAGCGAGGTGCGGGGGCAACACCGAGGGTTGCGATCCCGTTGCCGGTCCCCGGTCCGGTGCGGGGGCAGCACTGAGGGTTGCGATCCGTTGCCGGACATGGAAAAAGACAAAAAAAAAAAAAAAAGAATGAATGAGCTCATTCATTTGTCTCGTGAATGACCACTTCCGGGTACCAAGTTGACCGCCCCCTCAGGAGGACTCAGGCTGGCTCTGAATTTTCTATGTGTGACTAACACAGAACTAAGCGAGGGGGAGGAGACACCCACTGTCCTGTCGGGGAGCAGGGAGCTATGCAGATGTGCAGCACCACCTCCTCCAGCCCATCGCAGTTCAGGACCTCCATCTGCTCCTCCAGCTTCGTGCAGTAGGCAAGTGACTGCAGCCAGATGTGCGCTGAACCCAGGGGCATGACCTCCACAGGATCCCAGAAAGGGTCGTCGTCTTGAGCCACGTGGCTGTCTTCCCCATCTAGAAAGTGCTGCTAAAGTTCTTCCATTAGGAACTTCCTATTGATAATCTTGGCTTTTGACCAAATCCACACCTGGAAACACAAAGGCAGGTAACCGACATTAGATTTTACTGCTGTTTTAACAATTCATCTCTCAGTTTTCCTAACATGCTCCCTCCAATGGACTCTCATCAAACTTAGCTTTGGTGACATCCTTCAGGAACACCATAGTCTGGACCTGTTACTTGTCACTACGTGAGTTGCTTGAGCCTGGGAAATGACTTAGAGGGGATGATGGAGGTGGCAGACAGACCCTCCCAGGAGAAATGAAGGTTTGGGGCTCATGGTACACAGAATGGCCCTGGGAGATGTCCATGTCCTAATCCCTGGAACCTAACACGGCAAAGGGGAATTAAGGTTGCTCATGAGCTGACCTTAAAATAGGGAGATTAGCCTGGATTATCCAGGAGGGCCCAGTGCAATCCTCAAATGTGAAGGGAAGGTAGAAAATGGCAGAGAAAGATGTGGTGACGGAAGCAGTGTCACAGAGAGGCTGTGTGGCTGACACTGAAGGTGGACAAAGGTGGCCATGGGCCAAGGAGTGTGGTGGCCTCTGAAGCTCCCCTTGAGCTGCCAGCGACACAGCAGCTCTGCTGATGCCTCGCCGTTAGCCCGGTAGGCTCAAGTGGGCCTTCTAACCTCCAGAACTACAAGGTAGTAAGTGTGTGTCGTTTAATGAGTTTGTGGTCACTTGTTACAGCAGCGATAGATGACAGCAGGGACGGTTAGGTGGAGAAACGCCAGGAAGTGGCTCCCTGCCCATGTGCCCGGGAGACACCACTCACGACCCTGCCAGGCGGACGCAGCAGCTGTTCTTAGCTCTGTTTTGCAGACAGAACTACAAGGTAGTGTGTGTCATTTAATGAGTTTGTGGTCACTTGTTACAGCAGCGATAGATGACAGCAGGGACGGTTAGCTGGAGAAACGCCAGGAAGTGGCTCCCTGCCCATGTGCCCAGGAGACACCACTCACGACCCTGCCAGGCGGACGCAGCAGCTGTTCTTAGCTCTGTTTTGCA